GCTTGGTCTTGACTGGTTAGACAAGCTCCATATCTTTAATGTACCATTAAATTCAGTATGCTCTAATGTTTCGTCTTCACCACACAACGTTGTTCCCGGAGATGTATCTGATCAATCTCTCTTGCAACGCCGTCGTCAAAAGCACGCTTCTGTCTTCCAGGACAAACTTGGTTGCTGCAAACTGTTTGGCATCCAGCATATTCGTAGCCCCCCGTATCATCCCCAATCGAATGGACAGACTGAACGTTTCGTCGACACCTTTAAGCGTGCTTATGCAAAAGCGAAGGGGGAGGGAACAACAGAAAAATTTTGGATAAATTCTTGCTGCATTATCGTACGAATGAAAAAGGACAGTTATGTGTCAGACACACAGATCACGCTCTATCCAGTACCACGCAAAGGTCAACTCGACAAAGAAGAGCTCCGAAACCTTTTCAAATAGATCCAAAAAGCAAGTCCTACACTCTTTACGGGGGGAGGTGATAGGATCCCACATATTTTGGTATTGACTGTTTAAACTTGCATTTATGGTATGTTATCATTCTCACGCATTTTGGTAGTGACTGCTAGTTTTGTATATTATCATTCTCACGCATTTTGGTAGTGACTGCTAATTTTGTATATATGGTATATCATTCCCACACATTTTGTTACTGACTGTCAATGTCGCACATATGGCATATTATGATTTCTCACACACTTTGTTATTGGCTATTAAGGTCAATTATTTCAAATGCTGTTAGCTGTCCATATTGTTGTAAAATGTATAAATACCATGGCTTTCTTTATCGTTGTTGCACTTCAATACACAGTCACAGTCCAGCCTTTGTCTTTTGATATTTGCGTGCTTTGCTAAGTCGGAAGGTACGACGAGCAGATAGACAGATTAGTTCAGGCGCAGACAGAATAAGGTGAAAACATCATCATTCAATCTCCCCACAGTTATAACAACCATGGACTGTTAGATGGTCGTATGATGCCTAGCTGCATCATATGTTCGAATTCCGACTTAGCTGCTGCTAGTTTATCGGGTGGTAACCGTCGTGGACGTGCCTTCACAGGTTGTCCTGTTGTGATGATCTTATGCGTAACTGTATGAGATATATCTTCGACGTTGTATGATGGCTTAAGTATTTGTTGAACGTTTTGTGGTAAACGTTGTAAGAACATCTGACGTAGAATTAACTCATCTACTTTGTGTGATCCAATCAACTGACGCATATGTCTAAGTAGTTGGGATGGCTTTTTGTACCTAGATCACACGAAGTAAGTAGTTGTTGTATGCGTTTCTCATCGGAGAGGGTGGTCCGCTGGATGAGTGCAGCTTTTAGTTTGTCATATTGATAGTCTGTAGGTTTGCTGTCTATGACATCGATAACCTCTCGTAGAACTTCCGTGGATATTGCTGCTAATACGCAACCATACATGGCGATCTGCGACGTAATACCTCGAGCTGCAAACAACTGTTCAATGATTGTGGACCAGACACGTGGTTCAGCCAGATCAAATTGAGGTAGTCTTAAATCCGGCAAGGCGTTAACAGAAGAGTTCTGTGTCTCTTCGCCTTTATTACCTTCTTCAGCAACAGTGGTACGTTTAGATAGAGCCATTGTCATATAATATAAGAGTATAGAGATATACAAAATAGCAAAACGTGTGGTAACAAAAATTAAAGCAATGCGAGTTTAAAAGACCAAAATGGCAACAAAAATGTTCAAAACGAGTTAACCATCGAAAAAAAAGTTCGAAACGGGCTCACCAATTATTGTGGTGGACCTTTTACTCTGTTAGCTTAGTTACCCAAATTCAAATAGAAAATAAAATACCAAATCAGTTTAGTTACGGAAAGAATATATTAAAGTTTCGTTGCTTGGGTTTACAAAGATCCAAAATCCACAATAAACGTAACAGACTCCAGGGTTGCTGCGGGAAGACTGCTCCAGTACTAATTCTCCAATGTCGACGTTGCCGGAGGTCGACCAAAGTACGTAGGAAGAAACTACGGTGCTCCTCATAAATTTGAGATAGAAAGCAGGTGGTTAAAATTGATCGATGGTAGTTGAGACGGTGGAGAAGACGGAGAGTCGAAGGCAGAACTATATATTTATTCAAAACCCGAGGTAAATTTCAAAGTACAGAGTTTATGGTTAAAACAAAGTAGTATACAATATGTTCATTTCTTACATAGTAGTAAAATTTGGGTAAGTTTATTTTTGAGGTCTCCACACATTCGGAAATTGTAGGAGTTTCTCTATGAAGGTCCGAGCCATAACATGCTGTTGCCCAAAGGCTTCTTCTAAAAGTTCAAGTGCTTTCTGATAACCTTCCTCTGGCTCTAAAAAAACACAGTGTTTGATCACATCTTTCGCTTCTCCCTCACAATACCTAAACAAGTAATTTAGCTTGGTTCGGTAACCAATGGCCTAATTATCCACCAAGCCTTCAAAATTCTTTATAAAATTCCAATAATTTTCAGGATTACCGTCAAACTTAATAATCTCTCTTCTAGGCATGTCCAGGAACTTGGACATGGCTCTGGCGAACTCATCATTAGGAGACACAGCGACTGCATGAGAAGCAGAAGGCTTGCAAGGAGACTTATTACGATCGGAACATTCTCGGCTAGCTTGTCGTAATTTTTCCATTTCAATTTCTTTCTCGATTCGGACTATACTCATTTTCGCTAGCTCCAATTCTACCATATAGCGTGACTTATACTCGTTGCTTCCAGGGGCATCAATATCACCACTCATTTCTGACTGTGGAGATAACGTCGGCATAGTTTCATATTTTTCATCTGCCATTACTGTTCGAAACTATAGTCCGTCCCCAGTACTGACGACACAGATTCTTGGCTTAACTATAGTTAAAAACAGAGTAACTTGACTTAAACCTTATCTGTTTCTAAAACATAAAATAAAGCGTACAACTACACCAAGAAAGGCACAAATCCATTGTCACTCAAGAAAAGACAAAACATACCGAGCAGTATTGAAGGAACAGGCAAAATGAACAGTTAATTAGTTACATATACACACCATAGAGTGACAGGAAATAAACAACACTCAAGGTCCCATCACGTGGTGAGTTACATTAAATAAGCCAATAATCGCGACAAAGGGTCACATATATCGATTAGCTGTCCGTCAATCTGTCTATCTATTTATCGCGATTAACAATTCCTTCTAACTTGCAATTTGTCACTTGGGTGAACCTGTATACAAGTAAGATATGACGTCAAAAGTGAGACTGAGACTAAGATGCCAAAGCTCACAGTTTCAGACAGTTATTTACTAGGTTGCTGGGTCATATTTGACACATCGATCATTATTCGCTGAATTATTTGAATTTAATGCTGGTTGATTACACTCGGCCAAAATTCTCAGTCTCTCTGCAGATCGAGTAGTTTGATCCATCATAAATCAATAAAGTGCAAGCAAAAAATAACCTTAAAAAGTACCGACTACTACTGAATCCAGAAAAGGTGGCTTTCGTGTATAACACTATGAGGTTTAGAATGGTGGGTTCTAGCTTTAAGTCTTGATGTGATTATTACCACTAACTGAAGACGCACGTAAATCCAGATGGTGAGTCCAAAGTGGGTCAAAATGCTCATCCTAGGTGTGAATGCTACTCAGTATCGATTACCACCAAGTGAACCTCAGAATATCATTGAATTTAGCATACCACCACCCTATACGCTGCAAGGCGCAGGGTGATGGTTTTATACACTTTTCAGTCTTATGACAAAAATGGCATATTTTTTCATATCTTTCGTTTCAAATGACATCTATGTACAACAACACAACTTTTCACTACTTTGCAGTATGAACTCACCTGGTTGTTGCTGCATCTTCTTACTCTCCGCTACTGTTCTTGTGCCAGGACTGATTCTCCGTTGCTCACTTTGGAATTCGCAGGAATCGTCACATCTTCATCCAAAGTAAACTCAACCACACTTTTGGTAACGTCTGCAATAGAGTAAATATAATCGAAGTCTACCTATTTGCCTTACCTTAAACTGTGGAGGTTGAAATTGGATCTGTATCTGTAACTTCATGTAACGTTTTAGAGGCTGAAGTTGTTGACCTTCACACATAGTGCGAAGTATCCTAACGAGATATCTAATATCCACAACTTCTGTAGTAATCGCTCTGCGTAAATCAAAGGCGAGGAAAAACATCAGAATTGATAGTCCAAATTGCGAATTATGTTTCTTAGACCAAATCGGAACGGGCGATGACTGCTTACCTAACTGGAGGTCATGCACGAACGAACAAACGTAACACGATGGCGTGGATGCTCGACCGTAAGCCTTCAGCTAAACAAATCGACTAAAACAGTGAGGATCAGCATCCAATGTTCAGTGATGAATGCTACAGCTAATAATTCTAGTGAATTACCTACAGCTTTAATGTCTTTTCCGCAACAACTGTAATATACTGCTGGAATATCATAACCAGTTAACCTCTCTTATTTCGATACTTTGTATAATAACTGAGCTTTGTGTCTGGCGTACCACAACGTTAACCAGAACCAAGCATTTCGATCAGGGAAAGTGAACTAGCAGTAAAATTCAAGCCCTTTGATGAATAGGTACTGTGTGGTGTTCTTCTGCATTACTAATTCAGTTAACCAAGTTTAATAACGATTGTTTTATGCCCTTTATTATTAGTACTCAAGCTGATGTCGTTGAACACCAATAAGGACACATGCACAGAATGGATGTGAATGTATCACAAAAAGGGTAAAGTTGAAATAAAAGACAGAGTTCAGTTTCTTTCAATGGGTTCTTCTCAGAACAGAAATTTAAAGCAATATTTTTATCACATGAATGTGTATTTCATTTCAGGTTGTGAAAATTTATAAATCTGTTTATATAGTTTCAAAAATTATCAAATTACATAATTTTCTGGTTTCACTTGGATAGCAGCATTTTACCAGGGAATTACTCTAGGTGCTAAAATAGTTTTGGATGATAAATTAGAATAACAAACTTATCTGACTTCAAATACTTCACATTATTCAATATTTATGTGGTTTAAAATTAGCTCTAGTCGAGGGACTACTTCACATAATATAAGGAATATAAATAGAATTCCGGTATCTGTTTTTGTACTTAGGTATTCGTATTGAACACATTGACGTGCATCAGAGGGAATATTGAAATGAAGCATAAAAACACTTTGTATGAGGTATTCAGTTAGGTGCAATGGTATTGCCATTGTGAACAACTGGAAAAAAGAGGGTAGGATGAAAGTAAGCTGCCAAACGGACTTTTGAACGACAAAAGAAGAGTTGAGTAAATTGGTGGGCCGTGGAACGTTGAATGTATTGAAAAGGCTTTAAAAGAAAGTCAGTTTCTGTCAATGTTTATCTCGGCGTGGGGAAGATAAAAACAGTGTTGAAGAAATAGGAACTCCTTTTTCTCAGACTGCTGCCTTACAAAGGCATAGAATTTGGCTAAATAAGTAAGTGGTTGGCTGGAAATTAGATGAGTAAATAAACAAATAAGTAAAACAGAATGGAGATATAAGAAAACAGAGCTAAGGTTTTTTCTTTTTCCCGCCTTCACAGACTTTATTCTTGCAGACAGTCTTTCTTATATGTGCTTGACGTTCCGATGTTGTTTGGGAATTATGATAGGTATTATTATATGATTGATATACAGGTAATGGAAAACTTCCATATGTTGAACACTGCTCATTTGGATACTGATAATATGGATCATTATAATACTTATTATTGTATGGATTAATATAACTGTTACGCGTTGTCCAATTCACAAACGGTGGGGTATTAAACACTGGTGGTCGCATGAAATTAGGGTATGTAGATTCATAATTTGGTATATTATTCCATAATGGATTAATATTTCGTAATGGTACAACGGGTTGTGGTGGAATAGGTAAGAAAGGCCAATATTTTGGCTGAATAAATAGAGGGTTGTTCATTTCTGGATATACGTACTCAGCAGAAGGATAAATATATCGATTTTGTATGTGTCTATCAACAGGGAAACCTACAAAATCATCGTAATCTTTATTATTCACCTGGTGTTTATTTGTAAAATGTTTTGTTCTCCTACTAATGTCATAATCATTTTCATCAGGATCCTCATCGAATACATACTCTTTGATTTCTCTGATATCATTTTCATCAGATATATCAGCAAGTTGAAGTAAATCAAGTGTATTTACTGAAGAACATGATTCTGACGAAGTCGAGTACGTCTGAAATCTATCAAAGCTGCGTTGTGTTGATTTCTTAGGGCACTTAATATTTTCTTTCGTCGACATGAAAGAGTTCCTATTATTTAATTGATGCTTCTGGTTTCCATTCAACGACTTTTGTTTCGCTTTCTCCTGATTGCTACCAAATATATCTTGTTTTAATTTTTTCTGATAATGTGGATCTTCTCGAAAAGATGCTGAAGGCATTCCTCTTCTTAGATTTTGACGCATATAACTATTTGTATGTATTTCAGACTTAGCATTTTTATGCATCGCACCATGTACCACTGCAGAATTCGTGGAGACGGGTTCAGGTTTTTTACACTCATAGCGTGGATTTGAAAATGGTTTTACAGACATATAACTATTGCCTTTATTCGGCAAAGAATGACCAGCTCTCCAAGTTCTTGATGGTATAGATGGAGCGCGTGAATTCGATTTACGCGCTGAATAATGTGAGTTCTGTAGATGACTTGAAAGTGGCGGTGTTTTTAAATCACGAGATGAGTTGACAGGATTATTATTAACAGTTGACTTATTTTCTAAGCATTTAGACCTAACTTCAGATTGTTTTGTTGTTTTACAGTTTTGTTTTACTGCACTCACACTGACAGTATTACCTTTACTAACAGTTCTGTTTTGTGAAGTATTCACACCTTCAACAACACCAACTTCTTGTTTTATTGATTCTGAACTGGTTTTAGTACTAGAACCAAATGATTTATTCAAAATGATATTATTGTCGACAATATTATGATCTTTTGACTGTTTAGAGGAATTCGTTGTGATTTCTTTCACTTTATACATAGTCTTTTCATCCTCATCCATTTTTCCCGCCTTAATTAAATCATTATTTTTAAGATTCTCTTCATCATTTTCTGTATGGTAACTTTTCACTGATTGGCTAACTCTTGGACATAAATTCTCGTATGAATAAACTGTTTGAATAACTTTATGCAAATGTGGTGGTCCTGCTGGACAGCAGTTTGCTTCACGCATACCGAGAGGTGACTCATGCATTTTAAGATCAATATATGCCTGACATGTTTGATGATGATCAATATTACTGTTAAAATTAATTAATACTTGACTGGGTAGTTCATCAACAGTATTTACCTTATTGTTATTATCGCCATCATCATCCACATTATTTTCAATTTGAAGATAATTTAAGCTTTTAATATCCATATTATAATTTTGTTCAACTATTTGAGAGAAATGCATAAGTAATTGACTACTGTAGATTTTTTCCTTGACTATATCAATGTTCAATGGTTCTTTGGTGTTTTGTTCGTCTGCCTTATAATAATGAATTTGTTGTGATATTGATACAGGTGTTATAGTTGAATAACTTTCATTCATATAATGTTGATTCATCGAATGCATGGTTTGAATGCATTCACTTTCAAATGTATCACTTGTAGACGTTGATAGACGATTTAAATCGCATGGAAATATATGACTATTTGGTTTAATATGTGATATATTAAAATCACCGATTGCTTTAAAATTATTTATGCATGATGCTGGAATTTTTTCACCTGATGAAAGTGGTATTGTTGCTGTTGTTGTTTTAATTTTTTGGATTGATGATGGCGGTTTATTTATCTTATCTATTGGTAGACTTATTTTTTTCTCTGTGAGACTTAGCGATGCGGTCTGTAAACTTGATGTTGATTTATAAGTATTCGAGGTTTTTGAATCTTCACTGGATAAATTTATTTTTAAATTATTTCTGCTTGTTTTAATGCCAAAACATGATAATACACCACATGAAACAATTCGTGATTTGTTTACCTTCCTAGATGGTTTACACTTTGGTTTATTATTAAAATAATGATAATTATAACCGTTTTCATTCCATAGAGCAGTAGTAGGATTATTCATTTTCATAAAAATATTATTTGGTTCATGAGTTAACTTTAAAACCTGCATTGGATTTAATTGACTTGAAGTATTGTTTGTATCTGTTGAAGGAGTATTACCCTCATGAATGTTGTAGGTATCGGAATCACTATAACTCATGTTATATTTAGTCTATCTGATTATTATTATTATTATTTACTGTAACTAATACTAAGGTTTTTAACACACAAAAAGTAATTTCCAACTTATTATATAATCGTCAAAATTAACAATATCTTCATTTTATTAATTCATACTTTACGGGACAGGTATAATATTCCTTTCACATCATAATCCTTTCTGTTTCAAAAATGGGTTGATCAATAAAACTTGAAGAGGTCAATAATTATCACATGACTGGATAAGAGAGAAATTTGCTTGAGAGAAGCTCATGGAGAGGACAATATACACATTTTCGCAGCTCCATTTCTCTCCAGTACGAAAGGAGTTTAGTAAGGACGCTCAGCCACATGGTTAGAGCTATATGCTCAGAAGAGGTAATTGAAGATGAACTAAGGATTGTATTAATAATAATAATCTACTTTATTCCAAAAGCAGTACTTGTGATACAGAATGGAATTTTGAGCATTAATCACAATATTGGATCTAGTTTTTCTCAAATTATAAATTAAAAAAATTAATCACACAGAAAATTTTCCACATTTACTATAGGGGTAATGTCAAAAACATGCAGCATATATAATGGAAATAGTAATAATATTGATAACAGCTAAGGTAATAATAATAATAAGACAAGTGAAAAATGGCGTGGGTTTGTTACCCACAGTATTGTCGATGCGGTATAGAAATCCTAGCATGTTTAAAAATATTGAATATAGTGTTCTCTTTACATGATATGGTGAGGGGAAAAACAAAGATTACAGCAGTCATAGAGATAAGTTGGTGTTTGCAATTCTGAGAGTAAAACAAACAAGGAAGAAACAGGACCATAAATATCATAGAAATAATAAAAGTAAAACTTGAAGGTATATAAGGATAGATGGATGGAGGAAATTGTTTATTTACTAGATGAAAAAAGGTTAGTTAATTCTTGCCTGACACTATTTTCATCACATAAAATACGTGCCAAGTATGGTATCATAGAATTTCTATACTTAGACGTGCGAGCATACAGTTTTCTGAAGTTACTTCTTGTTCTAGCTGAGGAGATGCAAGTTGAAAGCTGAGGGTGAAGTGGATGCTCTAAGTCAGACAAAATCCCTCTAGCAAATTTGTTGCACGAAGTCAAGTGCCTATCGGCAACGACGTTAACCATGTGGTCCACTGGGACACCACTCACCCTACTGACAGTCTTCGGCATTCTACAAATGGTGACATAGTCCTTTTTAAGCAAACCAGGAAAGAATAAGCAGGGGTGGACAATAAAGAAGAATAGGTAGGATGCAAGAGTTTATGAACTGTAAGAGGAAAGGCTGAGTTATACCCGAGTGCCTTAACTTCTTAATGTAAAATGTCAGGCGGAATATTTTAGTGGCGATTGCTAAGACATGGGAAGTCCGGGAGAGATCATAATTGTTACCCCTGATTTCCCAGTAAGTAAGTGGCGTTTTTATGTGCAACAGCACACTGGTCATTTTAAGTGGTTGCCCATGGGTCACTTGTGGGTTCGCACCGCTTGAATTGCCATTCTTTAACTTTACCCGTTTTTTCAAGCATAAGAAAAACCAAGAATGTCGCTTTTCATAGATTTTATTTTTGTCAACTGGATGCATCTGCATCACTGCGATATAGAAATCCTGTATTGATTGAAAACAGCTATCGAGACAAATTCATCAGGAAACATATTGTAACAGCAGAAGGCCAGATACGGAAGCCAAGGTATATTTTCAAGTGATCAAACCGATATTTATACAAATACAGTTTCATATTCTCTAACCAGTCATTGAGTGTGTGATTTTGGCGTACATTAAACGACATGAAATAGAATGTTCAAATAGATTTATCGTATTCTGTTGCTAATGCTGTATTGAACTGTGGGGAATATGTGAGAATAATATTCCGTTGGAACACAATGTCTGTATCACACCATTACAATATGACTAAAGAGGTTGAAATGGACTGTTCACTATCTGTAAACAAGAAGACTTTGTACATGCGACTGCAATTCAAGGGCTATAAACGTCACGAAATAACTACGAAGACTTTAAGAAAATCAGTTCAGAGAACGTTAAATACTTGCAAACTACAAGTCTTATTATCTACATGACTGGTGGCGATTCCCCAAATGAGAGATGAACTACCAAGACTAGCCACTTCTGATTGTATCTGTCAATTCAATTGCGTCTGTGGAGCAAGTTCTATTGGCCTTTTTATTCTAAGAACTTAAATTTTTCTTGCTCGATCGGGAACATCCACTAGTGTGGCTAGGTAAAGGTGTATTAAAAACCATCAACAGTTTGATATTAGACCATCTAGTCCAAACCCGCCATAAAGTCAGCATTGACGAATCCTTCTCCATTATCTACCGGCTGCCAAAAGCATCCAGTTATCGCATACACCAGACAGCAGCAACTATCACGATTCACCTTAAACAACCAGTGCTTTGTGTGCAAAAGAAGCAAAACCAGTCGCTATTACTACTATTCTGGTCGGCCTTCAGTGGAGACTATATATTCTTGAATTTGTATTATTGTCTTTCCTAATTTCTCTGATATTCATTTAATTTATTGTTATGTTGATATTATTGGACTGTATTCTATTGATATTATTATTGATTCGATGTTGTTTACGCAACATTATTGTTGTTCGTAACACTAATTCATTCATTCACTATTATACATTTATAATTAACTGTAGAACCTGATGATGAAGTTATCAAAAAGAGCATTCTTTGTTCAGTGACTATTCTTTTGATATATATATATATATATATATATATATATATATATATATATATATACCTATTCTTGTTATGTAACGGCAGTTAATAAGCCATCATTTTCACATAGTGGGTGATGACTGAATGTAAAATGACAATCTTAGTCATCCCAGGGTTTAAAAATACCAAATGTGACAGCAGCACATAACGAAATATTATGCAGTACACGCATTCTTCAGTGGAAAACCAGATATCATGTCTAATCTGAAGACGATGCTAGTTGATAAATACCAAAGGATCGTAAAGATTAGCGCCGCGTTACTTAAAGCTAGGGTTCCTAACTTCAAGTCTTAATGGGAATATTAATACCCATTCAAATACAGGCATATTTCAAGTATTGGTTTGTAGGGTTTTTATTGAGCAGTTAGAGGATTTCGTTATGAGCTAGTAACTGTGAGAGAGCTATTGGAAAACCACCTGGGAATATTGGAAAGCTGTTTCGCTCTAGTCTGGGAACCATCGGCTGTACACATTCACCGGGATTCGAACTCACGACCTACCCGTTACAAGTCTAGCGAGCTTGTAGACCATTAAGCCACTGGGATCTGATTCAATGGCTAGCCCATGAATTCCAGCTTCTGCTAATTCACGACATAGGGCGACCGAAAACTGGTCACAGCAGGTCAGGCGTGAGGAAAAATGCTCGCCGAAGACATTGACTAGTGGTCACGCTATGTCATCAATTCGCAGAAGCTGAAATTTATGGGCTAGCCATTGGATCGGGTCCTAGTGGCTTAATGGTATACGGCTACCTTGTAACGGGAAGGTTGTGGTTTCGAACCCTGGCGATGTGTACTACTGAAGAGTCACAAACTAGGACGAAACACCTGTCCAGTACTCCCAGTGGTTTTTTAGCCGATGCGAGCTCATGATAAAATCCTGTAACACGTATATTCGCATATTTAGCCGGAATCAATTTATAAAGTAAATTTTGAAATTTACTGTCAATCATCACAGCGAATAAAATCTGAGGTTTAAACCGTAATGTCAATTAAATGTTTCTATATGGCTGAGACAGAGGGAGAGTTGGCGTTTCACCGGAAGCATTTCCAACAGTCTCCTACAAACTTCCATTAACAGCTACCCATTTACAGTACTGAAGAACAGATGACCGGTCAGAAAGGATACACAAGCACTAATAAGCTTTGGCAGAGAACCGGCTAAAAACTTATAGCTCAATAAACATTTTTAAGCAAAATAGAGATGGTGATTCGGTGGCATAGCAGCGGAATGCTCGCCAACCACACCACACGTGGTTAGGGGTTCAGTCCCTAGCTGACGCACTCCCTTACCTTTCTAAACCAGTAATAAGACTCGTAAAGAGGGAAGATTGGGCGTGAGGCTGGCTAGCAACCCTATTCCGTAAAAACAAATACCACTGCTAACGAAACTTCAAGCCTGTAGCTTGAAGTCCTCCCTATGTTCCACTGGGAATGTAAAGGAATAAAAAAAGATAAAAACAGAGATGCATTAAACATCCGCTTAGGAGACGACCATTGGATGATATCCCATGTCAGTCCCTCGAACAAAACCTCTATGAGAAACCACGAGTTTTTCATCCAAGGTTGACATAGGGGAGATCGTGTGAAGAGAAAATGACAGCTTCAAGGGAAATCGTGGGTTCAGCTGAAAATGATCGGAGTGGATAGAGTAAAATGGTGATGTGATGTTCCACTAGTAACCTAAAGGAATCATAATAATTACAACATTTTAGATGCATACACCCCGGCATACACCTCGTCTGTGTCATTTTGTCAACAAATTGTATTAAATGTCTAAAGTGCACTACTAGACGGCCTATGGTATAAATTCATATAACCACTTAGAATCGATCTTTTCCACTTCAGAGAATTTCAAGTTTCTCCTGAAGTTATTAGAAAAATTGTGCAAAGAACTATATTCAGATTCTATGAACATTAAATTCTTCTTCTGCTTTTAGTGACTAAGACAGGAACATCATCTTAGCTGTTAGTTACTTACCTGGTACCAAGCTATGAATCAGCCAAGTTTATTCTGTGAGGGCTAATGATACTTGCTATTCAGTTGTCAAGGCTAAAATGGCTGAAGTGAGACTCGAACCCCAGACCCACTGTGAATAATTGTCAAGCGCTTAAGCCTGTGAGCTACATCTCCACTCTTCTCAGCTGCAAAACATACGAAAATACTTTTAATCACACTTGATGTACATATTAATATTTGGAGGGAAATTAAGTGTAGAGTCTAATCATCATCATTCTTGCCATCCCCTCTCTGGCACAGACATTGCATTCGGGTATAAATCAAATGACGTGTATACTTTTCAGCAGTTCACTGGGTTATATTTTACGGAAAATCTGAAGAGATTCATGATACAGCGGCTCATGTTAAGTAAGGTAGTATGGTCATTTATAATGAAGTGAATGGGGGGGAGATTGTTAGATAAAAAGGGGACAGTCGATTGATGAAGTTATGAAACTCTATCAGTTGGGGTAGCTAGGTCACACGTCATAACAACCTTTCCTGACAAACACTGTTAGCTAATATAGGATTGGATTGGGAAAGAGTTAGGAGTGGATTGATTAAAAGACAGTCTCAATTCATTGTCACTTAGTGAGTGTCACATAGGGAAGGGCAGACTGCAGTCCTCGAGTTCATTTTCGCCTTTTGTAATAATAATAATAATAATAATAATAGTATATTCTCATTTTGTACATGAGGGACGCCAGTTTACAGGCATCATCAATATGATAAATTACATATACGATTAGCAATCATAATTAATAATAATGTTTTAATAAAATACATATTTTTTCCTACCTGTGTAGGACAGACCAAATGTACAGGCATGGATAAGCATTATTTAAATTTCATAAATTTGGTTTATGATTAAATTACATGGTTGCTGACGTTTTTGTCTTTGGTTTGTGGGAACAATATGATAAATAGTCATTCAATGGAGCACATCATGAAATATAGGAATATTGACTTCGCATTAACAAAAAAAACCCAAGTATGTTTTGAATGGAT